GCTGATGCTGAGGCAGGCTGATGCTGAGGCAGGCTGAGGCTGAGGCGGATGCTGATGCAGGCTGAGGCAGGCTGAGGCTGAGGCCGAGGCTGAAGGCAGGCTGAGGCTAAGGCTGAAGCAGGCTGAGGCAGGCTCAGGCAGGCTGAGGCTGAGGCTGAGGCAGGCTGATGCTGAGGCAGGCTGAGGCTGAGGCTGAGGCAGGCTGAGGCTGAGGCAGCCTGAGGCTGAGGCCGAGGCTGAAGGCAGACTGAGGCTGAGGCTGAGGCAGGCTTAGGCTGAGGCCGAGGCCGAGGCTGAGGCTGAGGCAGGCTGATGCTGAGGCAGGCTGAGGCTGAGGCTGAGTCTGAGGCTGATGCAGGCTGAGGCTGAGGCAGGCTGAGGCTGAGGCCGAGGCTGAGGCCGAGGCCGAGGCTGAAGGCAGACTGAGGCTGAAGGCTGAAGCAGGCTGAGGCTGAGGCTGAGGCTGAGGCAGGCTGAGGCTGAGGCTGAGGCAGGCTGATGCCGAGGCAGGCTGAGGCTGAGGCTGTGACTGCGACTGCGGTTGCCACTGCGACTGTCATCGCGAATGCGACTGCGACTGCGAGAATAGCAGAATTGTACAACTGGATTCTCATATGAATCTTAAGGGGAATGCTTCCAAATATGCTCCTACACATCGCTGTTAGGTTGCCTTGCCGGGATAATCATTTTGAAACGCGAACTCCACTGATCGAAAAAAACATCCCAGCCACGCATCCGCAACTTCCATCCACCCACCCGCAACGTGTTGACAAAATCCAAAAGATCGTAAGTGCGGTTGCCTCTCGGAACTCGTTAGCAAATCACGACAGGCACAATAACGCGCGGGCGCTTCCCACGCAGGTCCATGACTCAGGCGAGCGAGTGATGAAAACTGTGGGGGGGAGGAGATATGTAATGCATCCGTTGGCCACACATTGTTTTCATGAGTGTGATAAACCGTCGATTGAAGTTCATTGAAAACTGTGAAAGGGGAGGGGATATGTAATGTATCCGTTGGCCACACATTGTTTTCATGGATGAGGTAAACCTTCGATTGAAGCTCGTTAAAAATAGTGGCTTCGCATGGCTAAGACGTGCGCGCGTGGGCGCGCGCGAGCAGGCCGTATTGAATTATTCGACACTGTAGGTATGGGAAGTTTGGAGGTCATAAGTGAAGGGGCCATGGGACACACAACTAAATGCACACAAACAAACAGATTCCATAGAGTTTCCCATTGCTTATGTTTTTTTGTCTTCCCCCCCCCACTTCCCATATTTTCCTATATTTTCCGGGGAATCGACGATGAATTGTGTCTGTGTGTTTTCTTCCCTCCTGAATGAGCTTAGCAGCTGGGAAATGAAACCCTATGCTGTTCCGACATGCGCGAGCGGGTGCCTGATGATTCGCGTGGCGACACTATAGCTCTACTTAGACGGTTTCGACAGTCGCGCGGTGCCGCGTGCGTGTGGCCCGTATGATACGATTTATCAGGGATTGGCGTGGAAAAGTGTTTCAGCAAGTGCGGATGATACTGCATGGGAGAATTCGACCTGCGCGCGCGTGTGGCTAGAACGGTCTTGCTGGCAACCGGCGGTAAACTGCCAACCTGGCTACAGCCGGGGCCCTCGTAGAGCTCTCTGACATGTTTTCGCCACCAGGAACATCTCACGATGGGGCTTGCGGAGCCACAGCTTGAAATGCTTGGGCAGTCCTTGGTTAAGAGGGGCGGGCGAGCGCGCACCGCACGGTATGGTTTGAGAGGGAGGATGACGGGGGGAGTCGCTATGGCATGGTCGCATCAGTATGATGTGCGATCCTGCATCGTAAGATCTGAAGCACGGAGGGGTGCTGTTAAGCTGGGCCTCGGCATGGGGGTGGAAGCTGTACTTGTTGAGGGGGAAGAATGTCTACGGCTGGACCCCCCTGTGGGCGGGGGGGCCGAGCGGTTTGGGGGAAAGAGGACCCCGTGGGGTGGGGGCCCGATCGTCTGATCGCAGACGCGGAGACTTCGGGCCAAACCATTTAATCGTGGAGTGGGGGCCCTCCCTGTAGTCTGTTCGCAAGCCTGGGGATTCGTAGGCACTGCTGTCATAGGACCGTCGAGGACACACACACACGCCCCACGGGCCAACGGCGTGCTGAAATCTGCAGGAAGAGGCCCACAGTATTTTGACCATCTCCAGGTCCCGCGCGCGCGGCGGCCACTGGGGCTCTTGAGAAGAGACGCTCCCAGCAAAGTCCTGGGCGCCTGGATGCCGGACTTCCTGGGCGCGGCCCCCTTGGTTCCCAAGAGCGCCCCAGAAACGCTCCGAGTGAGCTCTCAGAGAGCTCAGGAGCGGCCTAGGAGCCTGGATCAATGGGTGGCAGGCCCCACAAAAAACCCGGCACAGCCCCAGGAGGCTCCGAGATATCTCCCAGTGGCTCGCGATGGTCCAAGACAGCCCTGAAGAGGTCAGAGGAACGAAGTTGGGAAGAATTCGGATATGACGGGCTCCCCAAAAGCACCGACCACGCCGCTAAAGAGCGGGTCAGACCCTCCACTCGCAGCATAAGCGTCTGAACCTTCGCAGTGGCTCCGAGAGACTCCCCAAGAGACCCAAGGCTAAACAGAAAAACCTACCATAACCGAAACAAGAGACCCCGAGACCGCCACACGACCAGCGATTCATGGGCAGCACGCTTCAAGCTAGCCGCACGACGGCACAACACTGCCCCCCGAGGAGCCCACCCTCGCAGAGCCCCAAAGCGGCGCCGAGGCAGCCCCGAAGCGCCCCTAGACGGCCCCTCATTGAGGGATGCAAAAACGACCCTACCCTGGGTTACAAGTAAGTGATCTGTAAACCTCCTGGGAACCCCCAAAGTATAGAGCCGCCAGGGCGCAGCACATTACGCAGGGTTTACCCTGTCAGCCCACAGGAGTTTCAGCGCACAGCGCCTCGTAAACCAGGGTAGGGGCGTTTTTTTATGCCCTTGACCTCAGGCGTTGAGTTGCAGGGCCTCGCTGACGGTCATTCGGTGCGAGCGTGCTGGCGCCGTCGAGTGCGGCCTGGAACTGCCCTGCCGCTATTTTCCGTCCATGCGGAACTCACGCGATAGCTCAGGCAAAAGCAAACTGCCGCCACCCTGCTCCCCCTCAGCCCCCGCGAGCAGGCTGGTAAATGGCAACGAGGGTGCCATGTGGACCGGCGGAGAGCGCGAAAGAATTAAAGTCGGCGGGCCCCCTGCGGGCACTGGCCGTGCTGAAGGCGTCGAGAGTAGATGATGAGATGATGGTGAAATAGAGGATGGTGAGATTGGCATGTGTAAGATATGCCAAGCGGGGGGGGGGGGCTTCACACATTCAGCCGGCCGATTTTGGTGATTCTCTGCTGGTGGAAACGTCAAAATAAACGTGAAGGGTGCTCCCGGCGCCGCTGGGCCCATGCGCGTGACAGCTCCGGGGCCACAACCCACCAGTGAGATGCGCCCACGGGGCTGCGAAAGCCTGGTTTCGGCGCACCTCTCGCGCAGTTCCTGTCTGACACGATTCGGAGACACGTGCAAATACGAGTTCGCAACGCCTTCATGACTACAACACTCCTCCTCCTCGCTCCTCCTCGCCCTCCTCCTCCTCCTCCTCCTCCTCGCTCCTCGCTCCTCCTCCTCCTCCTCGCTCCTCCTCCTCCTCTTCGCTCCTCCTCGCTCCTCCTCGCTCCTCCTCCTCCGCCGCCGCCTCCTCCTCCTTTGCCCAGCAGTGCCGAGCGCCCTCGGCCCCACGGAGCCTTGGCCGCGAGGCTCCGTGGGGCCCGAGGCCTCCAGAGGCCGAGGGCCGAGGAACTCCCGCCACGGAGCAGCCACGACACGTTACGTCGATGCAGACGTGCGGCAACCTACGCTGACCTGCGCTGACCTGCGCAGGTGGCGACGGGCGCAGCGCATCCTCGGCCATCGTCGGCGACATCTTCGTCTTCGTCTTCGTCTTCGTCAGCGTCCCGGTCCTCGTCGTCCTCGTCGTCCTCGTCGTCCTCGTCGGCGGCATCGTCGTCGACGACGGGCGCCTTCGGCCAGCCCTGCGCTGACCTGCGCTGCCCAGCGCTGACCTGCGTGGGGCGATTTCCGGTCACAATGCACATTTGACCATTGCCACTCGTGATGCGTTGGGTATACCGCTCGCAGATCCGTCCGTGGCGAAAAAAAACTTGGATTATAAGGCCAGCGTTGTATAAACTGGATGGATCAGGCCAGCCTGACTCAACTTGATACGGAGTGCCAGCAAGCAGGGGTGAAACTGGAAGCAAACCACAATGGTTAACTTAACTTCCGAAACGCGCAGGAACGCAAGGAAGGGCGTGCGCGCCTGAAGGGAAGTGGGAGACGCACGTAGAACAGGTACGTACGCATGCAGGTACAGTGCACGTGCTTCAATGATAAATGTACTGTGGTTTCTTCAATGGTGACAGGGCGGATAGGGTTGGGGACATCACTCGTTCTGCAATGATGCTGTACTGTGCGCCGAGTGGAACACGTCCACCGTGCCGGCACACGAAGTTCGTTTCATGTTGCGCGCGACGTGGAACAGGTCCAACGTAGCAACAGCACACATTCTTGAGTATTTCGGACAGGGTGGATCACCGCCACTGTGACAGCAAAACTTGGATGAACGCATGAGATGCGCGCACTTCGACTCGCTCATGTGGCGTGTTCGAATGACTCCGTCGACGCTCGGCATTCGATGTGAACCTGTGCCTGCACAGAGTTCCAGAGGCATGAAAGCGGCTATCACAAACTCGAAAGCAAGCTTGCGCTTACGAGAAACATTGAAATGGTGATAAGTTTAGTTACGGGGGCCAATCGCAATCACTCGAGCAACATAAGCATGCGATGTAAGCGCCATCATCTCCAGACGCCTATGCCATCGAAGTATAACGATCGCAGTTTCGACACTCGTCCAGCCAGCAATCACCCTTCGCAAAAATCTACGCCTGCGCCGTTGCAACTCAACTGACTTTCAACTGCTCGCTCAAATTGGCGACTGAGTACTGCTAAAGAAATTCCACGACCTGATTGACTTTGACGAACTCTGGCACGACCAAGCCAAGGCGTCTTCTGACAAATCCCATCCACGCGGAGTTCCACGCCCGAGCCCGCCAGGAACCTGCGTTGTACGACGCCGAACCGGAGGCGAATCTGGGCCATCGAAATGATCACGAATCATGACCTCCATATCGGCGACCCTCTGAGACATATCATCGCACACCACCCTCAATGATGCCAAATCCGAAAACCCCTTAGTGCCACCAGGCGTATGGACATTCCGTTCGCTAGTTCACCCTCGCATCAGACCCGACAGACTCGGACGACTCAGACGAACAAGCCCAAACACCACCCTTGCCTTCCAGTAGCTGAGCTCAACGTGACCTGGCCTGGCTCTACAGATGCTAGAGCGGCATGCCAAGCTCAATGGCCTGCGCTGGACAGCTCAAGCACCTGCACACCAAGTGTGCCAGCACGAACAGCAATCACCCAGGGGCGTACCCAATCAATTGCAAGTGAAAACATGACAGGATTTATCACAGACGAATGCACATTTGAAAGGGCTCGAAGCACTTCCTGCAAGCCAGAGCGGGGAACTACACATTGTGCGCCGTCAGCGAACTAGACGCAGCGGCAGAAGGGAAGGTAACTGCAGGCGAGACTCCACTGGACCTCCCCCGAGGGGCGCAGAGAAATGGCGACACTTACGCGTTGGTGATTGCTGGCTGGCAGCAGACCAGAGATCAACTTGTCACTCCGCTCGCTCGGGTCTGAATAAGACGTCTCTCCGCCAGACCCCACTGCAACCTTACGAGCGTGGCGACAGCTGCGCAGGTGGCACTAACAGATGTGTAGTGGGTTGTTCTCCCTCTGAACAGCCCAACTGCAACATGTTACTTAAGACCGAACTTTCCCAGCAAAGCAAGACCAACCGATGTGGAGGGATCCAGTTAGGGCCCTCATAATACCAGGACGCCGCACTCCGCTGGGCCTCCACATTTCCACGAACATAGAAGTACCCGAAACATTGACATCATCCAGGGAGGCGAGGAGTAGTTCGATCCCGGATCGGACCGTGCTCCGCTGACCACCCAAAGTGGCGACGATAGCGTAGTCGGCAGCACTTGACAGCACGCAGTGAGGCGAGGCAGAAGGCAGTTGGGAGGGCATGCGAGAAGGGGGGAGGATGGGTTCAGCCAGGAGGAGGGGAGGGAGGTGGGACGGGTGGGAACTTGCATCGAGACGTACCAATGTGGCTCCAATGCGTGGCAACGATAATATTTTGCATGAAACATCGGGGTGATCCTTGAGGCCCACACGCGCTAAAGAGACGCCGCCTCCAAAACATGGCATGCGACAGCCCCTGAAGCAGCTTCAGAACTCAGATGTCCCCTAGTGGCTCTCCGCTTTGACCACATTCGCAGACCACACCCCCGGGCCCAAGGCTCGCAGAGGAGTGTCTTGGAACGCGTTCCTGGGGCTGGTTGGATATAGATTCCCGAAGCGCGCGAGATGGTCTCGATCCATACTGTGTCGACGTCTGCGGGACTGCAAGTCGGCCACAGGAAACTCTGAGAACTGGCAGCGAAGACATGTATCTCAAAGGTGCCACAATCCACCGGCACTCGCCTCAGAAACATTCAGCCTGTCCAAAAACCTGTCATGACATGTGAGCGATAACCCCAGCCAAGACCGAAACCTGTCAAGACCTGTCCGAAACCATTCAAGATCTGTCGTGACCTGTCATGCCAGCTTATCTGTCAGGTTCTCGTTATGCGGACGCCTGGTGAGGGACGCCGAGCCCCCGCAGCTCTGGTGGCCCATCGTGGCGCCCCATCGTGGACCCAGCCCAGAACTGCGTCAAGCTGCTTAGGGTCTTTGAAAGGGGCCCTGGGACACACAAATAAATCGACACAAATGAAAAGATTCCCCAGTTTTTCCAATATTTGTTGGATTGCTGTCTTCCCCCCCACTTCCCATATTTTCCTATATTTTCTGGGGATTCGACGATTAGTTGTGTCTGTGTGCTTTTTCCCTCCTGAGTCTTCTGCCGCAAGAGCACCATGCTGGCACTGCGGTCGCCATGCGCGGTTCCGTGCTTACGACATTCTAACTGATCGTTCTGCAGCGGATTTCTACGTGGATTTCTGCGTGGCTTTTTGCCCGAAGCGGCGAGCGAAAAACTAAAGGAACTTCGCGTGGTTCTTGTGGATCTCCATTCTTTCCGGGCTAAAGAAATTCCGCACTAAATTCGGCTCGAAATCCGGAACAAAATTCTCCAGGACTCTCCGGGCACACGCTATCGTTTTCCGAACGAACTCCGCTCTGCTTGTGGATGCCATGAAAATGGACACTCTAAAAAGCCGATCCTTGAATTAAACATGTGTTTAAATTGTAAAAACATGTTATAATATATGTTTCAAACATGTTTTTTTCATAGTTTAAACATGGCTGAAACATGTTTCAGACATCTGACAATGATCTGGCAGCATGTTTCCTCTCCGTTGATCGTCCTCCACAAGCGTACGACATTCCAACCGGGGGAGGTACGCCGCGCCGCAAGGCGTATCTCATCAATGGCCTTCGCGTTCCCCTGCAGCATGATCAGGTTGTCAACAAACTCTTCTGGCTCGAGCTGCCCAGTGCCGTCCCGATCCAACAGTAAGAATCCGCCACCGTGCCGCTGGGCAAGGAGTGGCCATGTCCTCAGGTCCTTTGTCCAATCCCCTGAGCCTCAGTCCTCACTCCTGAGGAGTCCTCAGGGGGCCAGCCCAACTCGCGGCATCTCCCGGGGCCTCTCGAGTCTGGTCTTGGGCTTGTCACGGTTGCCCGCGGCTTGTCGCATGATTTTTGGGGCCCAAGAGGGCTCCAAGACGGGCCAACAGAGCCCAAGAGACTCCCAAAATGGTCCAAGAGTGCTCCGAGTCGCCGAACGATCGCTCCAAGACGCCTAACACGGCCCCAAGCCGGTCCAAGGGGCCCCCAAGACACCCCCAGAGGTATCCAAAAAGGCCTCCCAAGAGGGACCCAAGAGGCCAACACATGTATTTTGCCTACGGTTTGTGGAAGATGTTGGCGTTCTCGATTCGTTCTGCATCCCAACGCTCCAAGACAGCCTACAAGGCCACCAAGATCGCCCAACGACATCCCCAGAGGGCCCCAACACGGCCCAGGAGGGCCCCAAGACGGCCCAAGAGGCGCGCAAGACGGCCCAAGAGGCGCCCATGATGGCCCAAAAGGGCCTAAAGACCGCCCCAAGAGGGGGTCCAGATGGGGAACCCGAAAAAACATGTCGAGCCCTCGGCCCCCCCCCAGGAGGCCACCAAGAGGCCCCCATTGGGGCCCCAGGAAGCACCCAAGAGGCCGCCGAGAGGTTCCCAAGAGGCCACCGGACGTCTCCCAAGAGGCCCCCGAGAGCGATCCCACAACCCAGGCACGTCGGCGGGATGGGCCGAAGGTCACTCGATACCTGGGCAGCGCTCGCGATATCAATGCCGTTGGCCCGGAGGAAGACTCGTACTTTGTCGTCTCGCATGAGGCCGTGCAACTCCGAAAACGAGACCTTGTTTGACATGTCTTTGTCTGCCTGGATGAACCATTCCACCATCTGCTCTATGAGAGCCCTGGTCTTGAGTTGGGTGTTCTCGATTGCCAACTCCTTGTTCGTTTGGGCAGACTCGATGGCAACGGTAACGAACACACCGTTGAGAATGTTAAGGACACACAGGACAGTGAACGTAATATACGCTACGAAAAACCACTTGTAAGAGGGTTCTACGCCATGCAGCGTAAATGCCACCTCGTGCCAGTTGATCCCGCCAGTGATCGAGTTCAGCAAAGTGAATATGGTGTCTGGTGGGGACCCGAAATAATCCTCCAATTTAAGCATGACCTGTGGATCGGCGTTGTCGCTTAGAATATACGACTGCAGCCCCTGCATGAACATGATGCCAAAGACGTACATGACGACAAACAAAAGTGTGATTGCGGACATGAACGCGTTAGCACTCCCAGCCACAGTGTAGCTGAGAACCTTCAAGTTGTGAAAGAAACGGGATTTCGACACTTTCAAACTTCGCACCAGGCGCGCAAGTCGCAACACTTTGAAGAAGTTAATGTAGAAGCCAGGCGCGGTACCAAACATATCAAGCAGGGTGGCCACCACTGTCGCCACAATTGTAACGCAGTCGAAAAAGTTCCACCACTTCTGACTCCCACGATAGAAATTCACCTGGTATGCAAACACCCTGACCGTAAGCTCAATGGTGAAGATTGCTGCGAATATCATATCTCCAACCAACCAGCCTCTCCTGTCTTTCTCTGCGCTGTTCCGGTCATACCTGGTACTGTTCGTTACCACCCAAGTCTGGGCTCCCATATAGACCGCGTTGAGAACGATGATCATCGCCATTGTGTAGTCGAAATTGTTGTTGCGGACCCATTTCATTTTTTCCTTCAACCGTTTCGCACCCGTGAACCCAAAATACTTCATGTTGGGGTTCCGCCTCGCCAGGTGCTTCTGCATCAGCTCCGTGGCGATCTTCTTATTGGCCTGGGACCCCCCCGTGTCAGTACCGAAGTGCTCCACGAGCTCCCTGCTGCCGCCCAGTCTCTGGGATCTGTACCTGGCATCCCTGGAGAGTCTGTCGGAGGCAAGCTCCGACGTCGGTACCCTCGCCGACGGCCCTCCCTCGGAGACGGCGGCCTCGCTCCGGGGTGAACACGACGCCGCCCGCTCCTGCAGGAGAACAAAGACGACATGGTCATAAAACTAAAGAGGTCCGCGTGAATTTCTTGGATCGGAGCTGACCACCCCCTCCACCCTCCACGCCGACCCGAGCTCACATGTGCGTAAGCTTAGGTCGGGCCTGTCCCCCTACAGGCGGGTTTTAGAAGAAAAACAAAAAACCCAAGAAATGCCCCAACATGGCCAAACATTGTCAAACCATCCTCCCCAGGCTCCAGACTATTGCTAGAGTATTCTTGAATATTCCTCCTGTAGAGGGACAGGCCCGACTTAAGCGCAAGCAATCTCTTGCTCTTCGAGCCTGGACACTGGCCCCGAGCGCTAGCGGCGACCCTGCCGGCGGCATCACCGGAGAGGGCGCGCGGCCGCTGGCGCCGCCCGTGCTCTGCTGGACGCCGCCCGCGGCGTCCGCGGCGCCGTCTGCGCGCGTCTTCTCCTGGGAAGGCGCGCCCCACCCCCGCAGCGCGGCGTTCTCGCGGCACAGCCTGGCGTGCTTCTGCCGCAGCAGCCGCAGGAGGCCCTCGAACTCCGCGAGGCTCTCCTCCGTGCCCGTGGCCTCGGAGGTCTCGTGGCCGGGCCCTGGCCGGGCAGCGTCACACAGGACCGACATCCGGAGCTTGCTCACCGCTAGCTCTGCCCACCTCCGAGAGCCCCCAGGATTGCAGAGGAATGGCACGGGGACTCAGACCGAGACTGAACGTGGAACTGTCGCCTTGATCTTGGTCAATGTCGATCTTGGCCAGCGTCAATTTCCTGGAACATCCTCGCACATCGGCGACGGGCAGCACGGACCACGACCTGGAACGGCATGCACAAGACACCAAGAGATCTTGATTATTGTCCCCATGTTTCTACCCTCGGAGGATGTCCCCCCCACCCCCCCGAAGCCTGGGCCGCCTTGGGAGGGGGTCGGGATCAGGGGCGTGGCCGATGCTCAGCCAGAGCTGCGCGCCGGCGCCGCAGGCGTCGCAGGGCGAGCAACGAACAAACACCGCACACGGAAAAGCAGTGCGAACTCTGCGGTGCAAGGCGGCCAACTGAACACTCAGATGCGGCACGATCACTCGACCCCATCCAGTGGGGCCCCGACTGGGAGGCCTGGCGAGGAACCCATCGACAAAGCGGGTCCTGGCGGGCGAACTTCCTCGCCGCCCTCGCCCTGGACTCCCGCGGCGCTCTGGCACGGGGGCGACATCGGCCCGGCTGCCGCAAGCGGGCACCGCGAGGGATGAGACGAGGCCAGGACGAAGATAACCTCGGGTGAGGCTCTGGCGGCTCTGGTTGGTGCCTCGAACGCCGCGGCCCTCTGAGAGCGTTCCGGGATGCTCTGAAAGCATCCCAGAATGCTCTGGAAGAACTCATCCTCGTCCTAGCTGGAGGGGGAAGCGGGGGGAAGAGGGGGAGGAGGGGGAGGGCGCCGCAGGGGCTTCGCACCGGGCTCGCTCTCGAGCCGACGCCGACGACGACGACGATGGCGATGGTGGCGACGGCGGCGGCGCCGCCGCCGACGACGACGATGACGGCAGACGCTGACGCCGACGCCGGGTGGGGGTCTGGCGTGGGATCCGAAATTAAAAAGGTCTGGTGAAACCCTGGGATCTGGTCGCTGCAAGTTTTGGACACCGGGTGTCTTGGCTCAGTCTCGGGGTCTGGGACCATCACAGATCGACCAGGCTCGAAGAAACGCGCAGAAAAAAGGGGGTCTAGATGGGGTACCTTGTCGTTTTGTCGCGATGACGCATTTTTTCGCAACGTTGGATCGTGGGGAGGATCTGGCCAAAGCTCGGTTCGTTCCAGCCAAAGCTCGGGTCGTTCCAGCCCCCTGGAATGATGCCCGGGAGTCCCGAGAACTGACCTGAATAATTGTGGCTCTGAGGCGGTACGTCCACGGCCGATGGGTCAGGTCAGTGCTCGGCCATTGTGGGTCAGAGATGCGGTAAAGCGACTGCCTTAAAGCCAAGCGCTGCCCTGACTGGTTTTCAGTTCCATATCTACACACGCGTCCCACAACGTGGCGATTCCAATCGCAACGTGGCTGCGCAATCTCAGCCTAACCCCCTTCTTCTGTCGCGAAAAAACGACGGAAAATGTTCTGCCATGTTCGCGCTCTTGGGCCACACAGCAGGCCCCGGGACCGGAATGCAACACTGGTCCCAGGGAATCGCGAGCAACAAAGCCACCCTCAAAATAAGCACCCCGACAAGCAACGCCATTGAGCAAACGCACCCAAGGAAGGTGTCGATGTGATGTGCCATTTCACCACAAGCGGTTCTGCCTTGATGCAGGCGGGCCGAAAGAGGCTCAGCCCTCCCTCCGCCCTAGCGTCCGGAAGGCTTGTAGCAGCAAGCGGCGTCGGGAATGGAGCTATAGGCGGATGTGGCAGACGTGCACTTCAACACCGCTACTCTTTCGTTTCCCCTCCTCATCCTTCCGACACTCCGCCCGCCCACGCGGTGGGCGGGCGCGCACAGAGAAAAGGCACGGGCCTCCTTCGGAGGCGCATGTGATCTGTAGATAAGATCACTGCGGGATCTCCGTCCCAAGAGAAAAAAGTCTTCCACCAGAGGTACCAAAGTAAAGGGGACCGACCTCCTCCGGAGGCGGTAGCGAGACACGGATGGGCGCGTCGCGGGATCGTTGCACCGAAAGTCCTCCACTGCAGGACGACGCAAGCTGGGACTCAGCCGTCCGCGGGAGCTTTGTCCCGCGCCGCCCTCCACCGGAGGACAAGAAGCATTC